AAGGGAACCCTGAACCCTTGTAGATCACTTGGAAAAGGGACCCTAAGCCTTCTCCCTAAACCCTTCTAGATCCCTTTTCCAGGCCTTGTCGGGGAGAAGCATCTTAGGATTTCTCTCGAGATTGCTCGAGTGGCCTTGATCCCTTGTTTACGGCCGCATGCTGGGGGTCGGATGGCAGTGAGATGGCTCAACTTTGGCAATGTCTATGACCTGTTGAGGACCGGCTGTTGTTTCCGAGCTTTGGACCTGATGCCCAGCCATGCGGCTTGCTTTGACACCGGCGGGCTACCGAAAAGTAAGCCAAACGGGAAAAGAGAGCCTGCATCCATCGGCAATGAGACCATCATAGCCTTTCGCGAGAGGTTGCAAGTTGAAGGGTGTACAGAAGATTTGAAGTCTCGACGTCAGCTCTCTGTAGGCCCACTGCATGCTTCTGTGTTCAACCTGCCTCCACAACCCTTAGCCTTTGCCAGCGCAGCTCGACGCACAGCCCTCTCCCGAAGTACGACTCCTTCACATCTGCCCAGCGCAGGTGTGCAGGCTTCATCGCCGGTTTCGGCTTCGATGTCACGGTGATGGTGGCGAACTAAGGATGCATGCCAATGGCCGTAGCAACAAGAAGGCAGAGTTTGGGAAGGTTTCTGAGCCCCAGAGCCGTATCTACTACCTCAAAAGGACGTATGCGTTGGGTTCTCATGTTAATGTACATCACTAGTGATCCGATGAGGCTCCATAGTCAGAGAACTTCACGAACTCTCGGAGAGCGAAATCCTTACGTGCAAGACCATAGCCAATACCACCAGGTGCTTAGCCGAAGCCCGGAAGTATCTAAATCGGTCTTGTGCTGGCCAGGTCCGCTCCATTCTGCTGCGGGGCTTTGACCAGGTCCGGCCAAGCTTTTCGTCAAGCACTCGACATTGGGATTGTAAGGTTGGGGTTTTGGGGATTTGGTGTTTAAAGCATTTGAGCAGCTTGAGCTTTCGAGGTGTCAAGGTGAGCAAGCGACATTTCAAAGCCGATGTCCCACCTGCCGTCACGAACTCTTGCTGCTAACATCGGCGCATCAATGCATCCTGCTATAGGCACCCGAAAGCATGAACGAATGCTTAGTTCAGGCCTGAGTTTCCTCACTCACGCAGCTACCTGCATAAACTACAGAAGCGGCTGCTTTTCCACCAGTAGCTGTGGTGATCTCCATCCCAATCTCTCACCTGGAAGGACATCGCCAACATGATTGGTCAGTACATGCAGAAGCACGGTGTGAACTTCGCACGGGTGGATGCCTGAGAGTATGAAAGAGATCTAATTTCTGAGCTTCACGCTGTTTGCACTGGTTGATGGTGGGAGGATGTCATTGTCAAGTTAAGACGGCACCTGTCCGCGACCCTGTTTGTCTGATCGTCCGTACCCGCAGCCGTGTCCCCCCAACGTGCAAAAGTTTGCCTGTATTCGGGATTGTTACGCAGACAGATTATGACGTACACTTGCTTCGGTGGATTTCGTACCGGACAGCGAAAAACTTTGAAACACGGACTTCGCAAACAGAACGAAGCGGCCCTGAGCCCTAGACCCTATGTAACCCCGCATGAGTACGCAGCCAAGTTGGGTCTTGGACGGGTGCTTTTCCCTGAAGTTGCCAGCCTTTACTCAGAAGGGAGGGCGTCTACTCACCCGCCCAGCATGCCTCAAGAATGCCAAACTCGGCAGGAGATGGTCCCATCCAAATTCGAGAAAACAGCGGATGGGAAGGCTGGTGTGTTGGCGAAGTAGGCCTTAGGACTGTTGGCGGGTCTCAACTGGTGGAGGTCAAGGTTTTCGTGAAGGACGCGGAGTACGGGGCTGCGAGCTCGGAGTGGCGGAGTGCCGGCGATCTCGAGTGCAGCAGATGTCTGTGCGTCAGGCACTCTAGCAGAAGCATCTGGTCCGGAGATGCCTCATGAACGCCTACTAGGGAAACTTTTCCGACCTCCCCTAAACACGAAGCCTCCGCAAGACTTCCTCTTGTGCGAGGCAGTTCATTCTGAGGTGTTCGACACTGTGCTGGTTGCCATCGGCCGGACCGGCCTTGCCAGCCAGCTCAATGTGGAGGCGCGTGCCGTTTGAGTGGCTTCGGTTTTTGCATTCTCTTTTTTGGTGGTGTGCGTATGGGTGAGTCAGTGAGTGAGTGAGTGAGTGTGTGTGCCAGAGTGGGTTCATGACTGTGTGCAGCACAAAGCTGGGCTACCAAGCTGCAGATTACAGACTCACCGAGAAGTTCAATCGCGTCAATCTGCTTCTGCGAACTGCGTTTAGGAGCGCATGTGATCCAGCAGTGGAGGCAGCGGGCCTGTCCTACAACCCCAAGACGGGCAAAGTCGTTGGAGACTTGACATCCACGACGTGCGCAATCTCCGAGTTGCCAACCCGATGTGTTGTCGATGCAAGCCCAGACTGTTTGCAAGCAAGCGCCTTTAAAAAGGTCTAGTTGCAAACCCACAGCTCTCGTTGAGACAGAATGCGGATGTGCTGAGGTTGTCGACGACAATGACCAGACCAGCGTGCCCAACATTTTCGCCATCGGAGATGTGCTCCGCCTGAGCAAAAAATGGCAATCGACAGCAGGAGCTCCTGTGGAGGCAGGGCGGAAAAGTTGCACGGCTCCTTGCAGCCGAGGTGTGCGAGGGGAAGCCCGAGCTGACCCCGGTGGCCATCCAGGCCTGATGTTGCTCTCTGGAAGCGGCATTCTGGGGATTGAGGAGGTCAGGTTGAGGCTGATGACAAAGCAGCAAAAGCCCAGAAGGAGCAAGCCAAGAAGAGCGCGGCTAAGTCAAACAGGCAAACGATGAAGTACCTTCAGGTTAGGGTCTCGTGCGTGCAATCACAGCAAGTGAGCTTCAAACATGCTTCAACTGTTGGCAGCTCAGTCGCACGATCGGCATTGAAGCTGAGGGTGACGGATCTTCAGGGCCTACATTGAACCTTGTCAGGGTCTCATGCTAGGGCGGAAGGTTCGGATGAGGAACCCTTGGAAGTCGGATTGTTGTAAGCCGCATGTAGACTACTTCGACATCTGAACCAAAGAGCTTTCACTGTAAAGACCGGACGTTCTTCCAAGCATTATGTAGGAGCGGTTGTTCAGGTGTATCGGGCCCTGCAAGTTACATACGCTTCTGGGTGGAATGAAGGCCGGCCGCATGTTGACGCGCCGCCTCTTCGCTGGGTCCACGAAGCCAGGGTGGCCCAGACTTCTCCGCGCGTCGGTGGGGTCTTGTGCCGTCTCAGAAACTGAATCATAAGGAAGATGGACTATACCGACATTGCCACCACAGTCTTCACTCCCATCGAGTACGGCTGCGTGGTCGCCTCAGGGGCGCCTTGCGCAGGGCAATACCACCGCTACCGTAGTTTCTTCGAGACGTTGACTGGCAGAAAAGGTGGGCTACTCTGAGGACGAAGCGAGGGAAAAGATTTCCAAGGAGCGCATCAAGGCATGTACCTGATGCAGAACCAAGTGAAAGCAGGTGTCGGTGAGTGCAAAAGGCAGCTATGGTTCGTGCGCATGCATGAGATGTCCATCCATCCATCCATCCAGCCATCCAGCCATCCAGCCATCCAGCCATGCAGCCATCCAGCCATCCAGCCACCCAGCCACCCAGCCACCCAGCCAGCCAGCCAGTCATCCAGCCATTCATCCTTCCTTCCATCCATTCTTCCATCCTTCCATCCCTCCATCCCTGCATCCCTCCATCCTTCCTTCCATCCACCCATCCCTTGTTTCTTCGTTGTCATCACCATCACCATCACCATCGCCATCACCATCACCACCACCACCACCACCATCATCATCATCCTCCTCATCATCCTCATCATCATCCTCATCATCATCCTCATCATCCTCATCATCCTCATCCTCCTCATCCTCACCATCCTCATCATCCTCATCATCCTCATCATCCTCATCATCATCCTCATCATCATCCTCATCATCCTCATCATCCTCACCATCCTCATCAGCCTCATCATCATCATCAACATCATCATCATCATCACCACCACCATCACCATCACCATCACCATCATCATCATCATCATCATCATCATCATCATCATCGCCGTCAGCATCGCAGTCATAATCCATCGAATGCTTGGTATGCTCGCTCTGTGTACAATAACATTGCTGCCTCGTGATCCGAAAGCAACTGGCAAGGGAAACAGAGTTGTTTGTTGGCTGTCGATGGCTGTCGCTGTAGCACCGTTGCGACCAGATATTGCAGACTGCAGCATGCAACTTTGGATCTGCAACATGCTTGGATCCACCTGCGGCTTGGTGCCTTCTAGGTCTACCACTGCACCGCCCAGCCTTTGGAGTGGAACCTGAACTCCGAGCGTAAGGCCCAGCACCCGGGAGTGGTAGTGGGAGTCATGATTTTTTTAGTGTCGGTCCACGCACGGTCCACGATGCCTTCGGAGCTTCTGCACGGAAAAAATCTGAGCATCAGCTACGGGTTCCGGGTTCGCAGAGTTTGGGTGCGGGCTTTGCTCATGCATGTGTGCACCATGTGACGTCAGACCTGCAACATCTGCCACGAGCAACTACCTGCGAACACCTGGGTTCCGAAGGACGATATGGGGTACATGAAGCTGATCGTGGACAAGGAAGAGAAGGAGAAGGTCGGGACTCTTCTCCTGCTGCACCACGTGAGCTGTCGGACCTGCTGCCAGAACAACATCTGTAAAGCTGGGCCAACTTCACGAGAGTTTTTTGAACACGCATTGAACTTGAATCGAAAGGAAATGGGTCAGCATTCTCAGTAGCTGAAACATGTCGAAGCTATCGGCTACAGGGGTCCCCTTTATTACATGTGCACCGTGCCTCTAACGACGGAATCCCGGAGCTTCGCGTGGAGGTGGTTGGTGTACACATCCTCGGCCCCAACGCCGGGGAGATCATTCAAGGCGGGTAAGGAAGCTTGCAATTTCTTTTGTCGGGATGTAGGAGTGGTGGCCCCTGACAAAGCCTCACAGCGCTGAGCTATGTGGAGACAGTTAAGCTTCATGTATGAAACCCGCAGCACGCGTTGCGGCATCACATAGCGTCTAAGCATGTCTAAGCATGCTTGCGGGGTACTTATGCATTTGCTACGTCCTGATATCCGCTTAGCAAGTCCACTTCAAGGCCCTGCAAGTCTTTATCATTCGAATATATGTCTTGCAGCACATATCTTTGGCATAGCAAATACATTGCTAACTTATATGTCCACTTGCACAACTTATATGTCCACATGGTATACTTATACGTCGACTATCACGGCCATTCCAAAAGGTCGTCATAGTAAAACTGACCCTCGAGGGTCGAAACCCAACAAGCTTCAGAAAACTCGAGCTGAAGCCCGACCCCAACTGCGCCCCGCCCAGAACAGAAGGGTAGAATGGCAAGTCTTATGAACCCACTTAAAAGTTTCAAGACCTTGACCCCAGTCGCAAGACTCGTTAACTCCTACATCCTAAACGACCCGGCTTGAGAAGGAAGTCCCAGCTCGAAGGGGTTTGCGGTTGAAGGTTTCAGGGGGTTGGTTAGGAAAGCCTGCGGTTCTGCCGCCACCCTGGGCCCTGCACCCGACACCGTCATACCTGGCAGATGTGCGCTCTTGGCCCTTTAAGGCGTCATCGCTGAGGATTGAGATTAAGTTCTCAAGCCTAGACGTTAGACATCGTCGTGCGCAGGCCCTCTTCTGTAGCCTTAGCTTGGTCTGACCAGGAAACCAGGTGGCCGAACATAGTACCCCTAGAACGTAAAACTTGCGACCGGTCAGCCCTAAACCGTAAACAGGGATTTACTTAGTTGCTAACCTTCTCCCCCTCAGAAGTCGGCAGCCACATCTACCCACCATGCAGCAAAAGGTGGTGCTTGCATGGGGTTATGTATTGGTGTCTGACACTTTCATGCAGATATCTGACATTGAAAGGTATGTCGAGCACCAAGCACAACCTTCTGCGGACCCCTGGTCAGGCCTGAGCGTGGCCATCCGCTGCGGTGTCACGAAGGAGAGCTTGGGGATTGAGCCTTCAGCACTCGGTGTTGAGCCCGAAATGGGCACTGAAGCAGGCGACAGTGGACGCAAACTGGGTTTCGGATTGCAGGTGTGGGTGCGCTGGGATTCGAAATCTACAAATCTCTGTGTGACAGACCAGCAGTAACCCTTAGAACAACCCACATCATGTTGTGCTTGAAAGGAACACTTCGATGACTGCGCACCTCGGCTGCAGATCGGATCTTGGCCGGGCTGCTCTCGGCAGCTTCAGCGGGCTGTCTTACAGGATGCAAGCAGTGACTGTTGGGGTTTGGCCTTTTTTGGGTCTAGGAGTGTTTAGGGTTTAGGGGCAAGCGGTTTGCCAAGGTGGGAATCCACCCAACCTATGCCGAGTCCCTGCCTCAAAGACTCGACGAAGACTGTGACTCTCTGACGTCCACGCGATGAGCATTTTTTCGCGATGAGGTCGTACACCACGATGACTGAAGAGAAGACGGAAGGTTCAGCCCTTCCCACCAAGGGAGGCGCCCACCGGTCTCGCAGAGAATCCTTGGCTCCGTTGTCGCTTGAAGAGAGCTGCAGGCTGCTGAAACTAAAGGTGCCTCGCCTGGGATTCCCGGGCGGGGCTGGGTGCTGCTTCGGCAGGGCCCTAAGGCAAGGTCGAGGGCAAAGCAATAATAATGATGCAGGACGTGGAAGAGCGGCAGTTGATTTTGTGTTCGCAGTGCCATCAGGCGGGTGCTGATGAGCCTTGGTGACGAGTTCCTTGATTTCTTTCCCCTTCATTGGGGCATGAAAGTGGATCTCTGAGTTGGCTCATCGTTGAAGCATGCTGCCGTGCATCTCAACTGTGGCCGCTGTGGTTGGTTCACGAATAAGCTTCAAGCCTTGGACCTGATTGACCTTGACCGCATGCCGAAATGACAGCTGCAAGCTGTTGTTATGCAGCTTCGCGAAGGCTCGAAGGCTAAGACGAAGACTATTGTAAGAGCCAGAACGGCCTCAGTTTGCTTCGTAGTTGTAGGCTCATGCACCTCCAGGGAGACCCAGGTCAAGCTTTGCTGGCGCATGGGGGCCCTGCAGAAGAATCATCGCTTCAGGTGTTAGCAGAGGCTTAATTCGCGAACGAAACTGCATCCTCCCGTGGGACACCTATCAGACCTGTGTAATCCTGTGTTGGACTCGGAATGCGGGCCGGGTCTTCCTGGTCCTATGTGAGGTAGGACAGTAGGCGTGAGATCAACAGCGTTTCACAGACACAGCTACCAGCCGAGTTTCGCCCCTTCTAAGCACTTTAAGCTGTCCTCTCCTAAACAGTGAGACATATCCTGCACTGTAGCGCATGTAGTCTATCACGTCGGAGATATGGATCCCCGAAGATCTTCCGCCTTCAGAGCTGTGGCCGTAGCAACAAGAGGCTTACACCGGTGCTTTGGCTAGGCTTCTCGAAAGCCAGCAATCTGTCTCGACATGCTTCGGCAAGCCGTAGAAATCTCTCAGGGCCAGAATCTAAGAACCGAAGACCTTTGCCAAGAAGGGGTGGCGCGAGTCGTGAGGCTGACACGGATTCCTGCGGGACAACAGACTAAGACCCAGCGCGGGCAAAAGAAAAAGGGCTGTTCCGCCTGGTCACTGGGAGTGCCCACCTCCAAGGCTGCATGCGCCACATATCCTTCGATTTGAGTGCGATTTGAGTGCGAGAAATCCAATTGTATCAGTCGTGTCAGCTAATTGAAGGATCACATCGAATCTAGAAGACGAAGTTCTGGCTTGCACTCGAGTTCGGCTGGAGAAACATTCTCTTCTTGTATTGGGAAGTTCTTCCGAATTCAAGTCCATACTCCGTATTTGTCTGCAGTAGTGTCTGGCGCTATCAGCCGGTCAGCAAGAAACCTTGCAGTTTCGAGCTGTCAAAGATAGAGAAACAACCATTCCACGAGCTCACAGCAGTTTCCCCCTCATGTTTGCGGATTCCAAAGCATGTCAAAACACGCTTCCCGGTTAACAACTCATTGTTCAGCGCTCGCTCAAACAACTGGGGGCATGCCCGGCTGACTTGAAGCGCACGACCTGAAAAATGCAGTGATTGGCCGCGTTTTGCTCCAATTGAAAAGCATGGTAGCAATGCGAAGAGGCGGCTGCTGGCTGTAACCAACAGCCTGTAGCTGCCCTCACGGACAAGGGCCATGCAAGCCAAAGTGTTGCAACGCAGTGGCTCCATGGTGGCTAGCCGGCCAAAAATCGACTGGCGTGGAGCTAAGCGTCCGCCCGACAGTGATGCAGTGTGCCACGGAATGCTCCGCAATGCTTGAGGCCGAGGCCGGAACAGAAGCACGAGGTTGGATCAGCTTTGTCCTAGCTAGTCAGTTTGCGCACTGCTTTGCAAAAGCAGGTCGATGCGAAGGCGGATCTTCGTGGAGTGTCGGGAGCTCAGTGGCAACAGCCGATCAAGCGCAACCCACAGACCTTCTGTACCTTTTCAATGTTGCAGGCATTGGCAGCTGAGTTACATGGCCACTTCCCCGGAGCAGTCGCAGACCAAACAGGCATACATCAAACATCCGTCGCCCCTTGACAGCACCTGAGCTTCTGTGCTTGCATGGCGCATGGCGAGCATGTCGTGGCGGAGTTATGTCTTCCTTGGATGAACTCTGTCGGGCTGCAGCTTCAGATTCGATCCGGCAGCATCCGCCGCGCAACTTTCACCGACCGGATCCGTTCCCCGAGTATGCTCCATCTCTCGGGATGCACATCATAGTTGAAACTGCCTTTGTGAGTGGTGGGGCTTTCAGGCAAGTGTGGAATGGTTGCCGTTGCAGTAAGCATTGCTCTGCGCGTTCTTAGACCTGTGCATCACATCCGCGCGGCATGTGAATCTAGAGGCCGATGAGGTAGTCGCCGATCGATTCGTGCGCTCCCCCGAGAACGACCAGTTTGCCGCAGCAATCACCCGCCTGACTTTCGCAGACGCTGTTCCGTTTTTCTTTCCAGGTCAGGCGCCATCTTTCCGGCAACTCTACACAAAGACTTCTTGACTCCTCTTCGTAGGCAGCAGGTGGGCGCGGGGCGGGCATGAATGCCATGACAGGATGCGGCTCGAAAGGATGCGGCTCGTTCCACCCGCCAACGCGGGGCGGCGCGATCATCGCTTTTGCTCGCAACTAGCTTGATGGACGGCAAACAGTCGGCAGGAAGTTGTCAGATTCCGTCCCCGGGCCGGCCGACTTGCCCGTGCAGTGTTCAGCCGTGGGTTGCGTACAGGATGCCCAGCTCGACATGGTGAACCTGTCCTCGACCGTGTCTCCATCTTGGCGCAACGAGCTTGGACGCCGAGCACGAAATTACAATGGGCTGTGTGCTGGATCTTCAGCAACCTTTCCCGCGTAGTTTGCGAACTGCGAGCTGCTTTTGGCACTCCAGAGTGCCGCTCGTCATTCTTCTGCCGCTCTCAACTGCATTCATTCGAATCTATTCCTGATTCCTGTACGTCCTGCAGGGAGTTGTCTGAGGCAAGTCGCTCGTGTGCAGATTGCACTTCGGGTCCCCGCGGCATGCCGGATTTGATGGCGCAAGCTGTTTATTGAGCCTCCTGTGCGGCTGCAAAGCATCGGCTTTTCCTCTTGCGCAGCCTAGTCATTGCTGCCACGGATGCGGCAAGACCTTGGCACGAGGATGCGCTGGAGATCTGTACCTGCTCGACCTGCTGGATTGGTAAACTGGCCATTCGCAAGCATTCGAAAGCCGTTCGCACTTGGCACCTTCCGCATGTGTCTAGGTCGGTCGACGTGATCGGCCGTGTGCTACGACGGGTAGATCATGGCAGACATACTGACATAATGACGTTCTGCAGTACCCGGATAAACCGATTTCTCCAATGCAAAGACCCTCTGAGACTCCATTGTATGATGGCCGTGGAAGCAAAGGTGAGCGATCTGCGGACGAGTGCTCTCCGATTACGCCAGGTGTAAACGAGATCGGCAGCCAATTTTCCATTCCGAACCGATTCCACAAGCACCCGCTCAAGCAGACATCATGGCATCACAAACAAAATATTCAGTAGTACCTGCAACAACCTATCTCTCGCAGAAGCGGGGTTTGGAAGCAATGTGCCAGGCCCAGTAGGGCGCCCAAACAGGGTGTGTTGCGTGGGAATGAACAGAATCGCAGAGCCTGACTGCCTCAAGTCATCATCGGAAGCGCACCTTGCGGTAAGAACCCTAAACCAAAGCAGCCGAAAGCAAGATCAGACAGGAAGAGCAAAATACACCAACCGCCCGAAGCGGGGGAAAGGTGTGCACCGTGTCATCACAAAAAGTCAAAGCTATAGTATGCTATAGTCATTCCCCATGCAGACGCCCGCTTCCACCAGCACGCGCTTCAGATACATATCAGTGGCACGCGACACATCAAGCCTGTCATTCCGAATGTAGATCCTGTGTACTAAGATCTGCTTCCCAGCACTTTGGAACTCTCTTAGAAGTGCACAAGCTGAGTGCGGACATGCAAAACCCCGATTTGGACGCTGCGAAAAGTGAGACACAAAGATCGCTCACTCATAAACAGTCACTGCTTGAAGTGCGATTCCCGAGTGTGGACGCTATCGACGTGTAGTTCACCCAAGCAATGCGAAACAAGGCGATCCACCAGTAGTCATAGCAAGCCAGGAAAAAACATAGAAACAACTCAGACTTTCCCGACTGTCATCGTCCTGCCCACCGGTTCACCGCTTGGTGCGTGGTTTGGCATCCGCTGTTCTTTCCATGGAGTGTTGCCGTCCATGCCGTACAGGACGGCCGTAACAGACGCTGATCGCGGCACTTTTGGTTGGCTGCTCTCTCTACATACATACCGTCAGCTACTACAAGACCTTTCGGAGGGTTTGGACCTGACAAACTGTTGTCCAGTCGTCCATGCAAAAAGCCATGAAATCAGAACTCCCGTTTCCGTCCGCCCAAACTCTCGAAACAAACCGCGCGCTGCCTACTTCGATTTTTTGTTGTTTGCCTGCACCATACCAAGGTGCTCCCACTTGCACCGAGCATGGCTTGAAGCCCCGGTCAGCAGATCGAACGCACGAGGCCGATCCTTCGCTCCTTAGCAACGAGGAGCCCGTTGATATCGAATGTCCGGGTGACCGTGACCCCATCTTACAACGTGTAAGGAAGGGCCCCGATTTTGATGCAGGTTTGCAACACAAAGCCGCTAATTTCCAGTCGCATCTCAGTGCCTCTTTCCCACAAAGGATATTCGTGCAATATCACCGCATAGAAAAATCGTGAGCGCTGCGGCCTGACCGTCACACAGCGCTCCTGCACAGCCGGAGCTCGGCCAGGCTGCGTGAACTTTTCGTCGATGCACACAGGGACTGACAGGTCCCGCCATCTCACGACAGCTGTTAATCGCTTGACGGGTTGGCGACGAAGGCCATTCGATGACGGATGTTTTCAGAACGGAGGGCCACGTAGGGAAGAACTCGCCAAACCAAAAGCGCAAAGCGCTGGAAATTTTCAAAGCAAACCCATACGTACAAGTATCGTCAGGTTTATCTCGCATCAATCGGCCATCGTAACGCGCCCACGTACGCCTCTGAAGTTGTACCCCAGGGATATCAGCACACGACCGTCGCCGGCTTGGCCTTGTCCTGGGTGTCACCAGGGGCGACGATGGCCGCAGCCGGGAAGCCGAGATGCTCCCGAAATTGCGGCTATCGAAGTGGCAGGGCACCGCAAACTCACCGGGTATCCCGAGCTCGTTCGGCCACGGTCGCAGCGGCTTCGTGGTGCGAGGCTCACGACCTCCGACGCCTCGTGCAGTGTGCGGTATGTGCGCACTCTCTGCGACAGCACGCGGGTGGCGGTGCATGCGGTGCTGGTGGTGGGTTTCCTCGGTCAGCGACTGCCGGCATCCACACTGTTGGGCGGCACGTGACTGCCGATGCTGCTGTGCGCCGAACAGATGCCAGGTTAGCGGGGGTTTGCGCCTGACTGCGGCAAAATGCGTGTCTTAAAAAACATGATCGTCATATCGATACTAATATATGGTGGTTGATCTAAAGCTCCTTGAGCCTGAACAGGTGCCGCTACCTGTTACCTGCGCCACCACACGCGAGCAGCTACCGGGCCAGGAGCTACACCATGCGTTCGACCTCGCCGAAGCAGCGGGGCCGAGCAGTGGGCCGAGCCGACTGCCACTGAGCTAACCACAGTCGGGCCATAGGAACCGTAGGTTTGACTAGGGTAAGGTAGTTCGACCCCGCTGGACCCTCGTCATGCAGAGGCAAAGCTCGGGGAGAAATACAAAATACAAAAAAACATATATGTATACATGAGCATTGATCTAAAGGTCCTGGTGTGGGGATTATATAAAACGGTTTTAACATGTGAAATAGAGTGTCCGCGAAAGATCCGCGATGGGTCCGCGAAAGGAAAACAATAATCCGCGAAAATTGTTGTGTAATAGATTTGGGCCGTACAGGAGTTGTATATGCTGTACAAGTCCGTAGGCAAAACTCGCTCTCCCACCATTCCGCGAGGCAATATACCCAAAGCCAGATCGCTCGGCTGCCAGTCCACAAACTGTGGGGGGTGGTGGGGGAGGTGGGCATGGTCGTGCGATTCATTTCAGGGCCTTTGCTGTTCAAGGATAGGTCTTTCCGACGTACACGTACACGCAGCGTCAACGTCAGAAGGAATTCGTGTGAAATCAGGGTAGGTTAAGCGCGAAAGATCCGATAAAGTTGGGCGAAAAACGCCGCGAAAGAAGCCCCGTCGCTTGAAGGCCATGGCACACGCCATGCACCACGACTTGGAGTCGGCTTTTGCACCCCAACTACTGCTACTGCTACTGCTACTGCTACTACTACTACTACTACTATTACTACTACTAGTACTGCTACTACTACTTTCAAACCGCGAAAGTGATGGCGAAAGTCCCGCGAAAGGAAAACAATA